TTTTTTTTTTTTTTTTTACTGGCTTCAGTTATTTAAAATAATTGTCAAAACACTAGCTGACCACTAAGCTAGGGCAACACAGACTTCAGTGGACACACAAGATAAAGAATGCAGATTTTACAGAAATAGTTTCAAAAAGTCACTAAACAAACAAACAAACAAAATAACCCACAACAGCCAGCAACAACAAATCTTGATAGGGGGAATACTGGAGGCAATCAATCGATGTTTCTCTCTCACATAGATGTTTCTTTCTCACTCTCTCTTCTTTCCTTTCTCTCTAAAAATCAATTAAAAAAGCATATCTTCGGGTGAGGATTAAAAAAACCCCACTGTCCCTGAGGAAGCCCAGACAGTGGACATACTAGTCAAAGACTTTAAATCAACTGTCTTTCATATGCTCAAAGAGCTAAAGGAAATCATAGGTAAATAACTAAAATAAACCAAGAGAATTATGTCTCACCAGATAGGGAATATCAATAAACAAGAAGAAATTTTAAAAAATGTACCAATACAAACTCAGGAGCTGAAAAGTATGGTAGCTGAAATGAAAATTTCAGAAGGTTCAACATCAGATGAGAACAGGCAGAAGAAAGAAACAGGCAACTTTTAGATAAATCAGTTGAATTTAGAAAGTCTGAGGAGCAGAAAGAGAAAGCAAAGAGAGAGAAAGGAGCAGAAAAATTATTTGAAGAAATGATGGACAAACTTTTAAAATTTAAGGAAAGGTGGAGGCTTGGGGTGGGGAATGAGTGTGGGGTGGAAGGGGTCAATGGGGAAAAAAGGGGACATCTGTAATATTTTGAACAAAAATAAACAAATAAATAAAAAATAATAAAATAATAAAAGATAAAATTTAAGGAAAGTCACGAATATAAACATCCAAGAAGCTCAACAAATCTTAAGCAGGATACTCTCACCAAGACACATTATAATCAAACTGTCAAAGCCAAAAACAAAGAGAGTATCTTGAAAGAAGCATTAGGAATTAAGTCTTATTTTGATCCTGATCCAAACAAACTGTTTAAAAAAACCAAACACTATGGCAGAATTGGAAATGTGAACAAGGATTGGACATAACATATTAAGAAACTATTAATTTTAGGTGTGATAATAGAACTGTGGTTTTACATAAAAAAGAAAGTCCTTGTAGATATGCACTTTGAAACCTTATGCACAAAGTAATATTATGTATGAGATTTGCTTCAAAAATCATCTCTAGCCTGACCAGCATGGCTCAGTGGTTGAGCATCAACCTATGATCCAGGAGATCAAGGTTCAATTCCTGGTCAGGGTACATGCCAGGGTTGTGGGCTTGATCCCCAGTAGGGGGCGTGCAGGAGGCAGCAGATCAATGACTCATCATTGATGTTTCTCTCTCTCCCGCCCTCTCTCTTCCTCTCTCTGAAATCAATAAAGTTTTTTTTTTTAAATGATCTCTAAGGGTGAGAAATGGGTAAGGATATAGATGAAATAAGATTGACCATGAGTTGTTAACTGTGAAAAGTGGGTAATGGGTGCATTTGCTTTCATTATACAGTGGGCTCTCCATATCCATGGGTTCCACATCCTCACCTAATAAGGAACTCATACAACTTAACAAAAGGAAGACAAACAATCCAATTAACAAATGGGCAAAGGACCTAAATAGACACTTCTCCAGGGTACAAGTACAGATGGCTAATAGACATATGAAAAAATACTCAAGATCACTAATTATCAGAGAGATACAAATTAAAATGACAATGAAGTATCACCTCACACCTGTCAGAATGGCTGCCATCAACAAATCAACAAAGAACCAATGCTGGTGAGGATGCGGAGAAAGGGGAACCCTAGTACACTGCTGGTGGGAATGCAGACTGGTGCAGTAACTGTGAAAAACAGTACAGAGTTTCCTCAAAAAATTAAAAATGGAACTGCCACTTGACCCAGTGATCCCACTTCTAGGAATATATCCTAAGAATTCCAAAACACCAATCAGAAAGAACATATGCACCGCTATGTTCATAGCAACACAATTTACAATAGCTAAGATCTGGAAATAGTCCAAATGCCCATTGGCAGATGAGCGGACAAAAAAGCTGTGGGACATTTACACCATGGAATACTATGCAACTGTGAGAAAGAGGGATCTCTTGCCCTTTGGGACAGCATGGATGGGCCTGGAGAGTATTACGCCAAGTGAAATNAAAAAAGCTGTGGGACATTTACACCATGGAATACTATGCAACTGTGAGAAAGAGGGATCTCTTGCCCTTTGGGACAGCATGGATGGGCCTGGAGAGTATTACGCCAAGTGAAATAAGCCAGTCAGAGAAAGACAAGTATCACATGATCTCACTTATATGTGGAATTGAATGAACAAAATAAACTGATGAATAAAACAGATCCAGAGACATTGAAACATGCAACAGACTGACATATTTTAGAGGGAAGGGGGGGGAGGGGAAGCAGGAAGAGATTAATTAAAGAACTTATGTGCATAGCTCATGGACAAATGATAGTGTGGGGAAGGCCTGGGGAGGGGGCAGGAGTAGTGTGGAGGGGACCAATGGGTCAAAAAAAGGCGACATCTGGAATTTTGGTATCCCCTGGGGTCCTGGAACCAATTTCCTATGGATATCCAGGGAGGACTATACTATTTTATTATTGAATATGTTTTAAATTTTCCATTAAAAATTTAATATAAAGTTAGTGTAAACTATATAAAGAGAATGAATTTTTAAACAAAAAAGGAACCAACAAAGGTATCAAGAATAGAAAAATATCCATGTCCTTGACTCATTTTCTGCCTCCCACTCATGCATTTTTCTTAAAGAAAACGGTGAGTATTGGTAGCAAGGACGATCAGAGGCTGTGAGTGGGGTGCATGGTGCATATTGCTCATCATAGATATTCTTGCATAATTTTTTTTTTTAATATTGCCCTAAAATGCGATTTATCTTCACTACTGAGTTTTTTTTGCAGCCCTTTAAATTTTACAACTGACTCCTGGCAGGGGGAGGAATGTATACTGGGAGCACAGGTGGAAAGAAGCAAGCCCCCAGAGAAGCAGTGGGAATGGCCACTAGGCCCCTGAGTAGATAAGCAGCAAGGACCCAGGAATACACACAGAAGGGGCCGCGACCAGGCCCATGCAGACGCTGTTAAAAGGAATGCGAGGCCAGTGGCAGGGGCCGGTGTGCAGGGCCTAGGGCTTTTCCCCAACCGGCTGAGCAGGATGGGGCGGGATTGGGGCGTCGCCGCTGTCGGTGACCAAGGCCTCACGTGACCGGCCTACACAGACTCCCGCGCGCCTCGCTGGAGCTCCAGACCCCGCGGTGGCTCGCACCCTTCTCGGTAGCTGCTCCCAGTGGCCCTGAGGGCGCGCGGGCCAGGGCAGCCCCAGGAGGCTGAGGCGGAGCAGGTAAGGGACCCGGAGCTGCTCCCTGGGGTTGGTGTGGAGAGTGGCCTTGGCCTGGGGAGCCCCCTGGGAGGTCTGGCTGCCCCGGGGCGAAGCCGCGCAAAGACGTCGGTCCCCTCTCTCCGAAGCGGCCCCCAGTGTGTCTGCAGAAATTGCTGAGCTTTTCCCGGGAGAGGGCTGGACCGCTCAAGGCCACAACCCTTCTGAAACACCTGCTTCTGGGTCCCCTGCCCCGCCCCCATCTTTCTTGGTGTCGAAAATGGTGGTCAGTGCGGGGGTGGTCTCAGCCGGGGGTGACTGGTGGGCACCGAGCGCTCG